ATCCCGGTGCTTGATTTCGCAACAAAATCCAGGAAGGTGCTGGAGCTTTTTTTCTTGGGTTTTTCTTGTCTTGCCTTGCCGCGAAAGGCCGCCATCATCGTCAGGGCAGGTTATCGGTGCGTATCCTGGGGCGTTTGGGCTATCCAGTGTGTAAGAGGATAGCTACGGCGTATCAAGTCCCGACATCGCAATCGACAACTCACGCAAGATAAATCCATGTACCAGTATTGACCACCGAAGTCAGCCAATTGTTTGAATGCTCGATCGGGAGAATAATAATGATGATAAAGATGGTGTTGGTGGTGATGGTGTTGATGGTGATTCGGGGAGTTTTATCGAAGATCTTAAAAGCCAAAGATTGGCTGAGCAGATGACATCTTTAAGTGACCGCTGTGTGAGTGATTGGACTTGTCAATGGCGTAACTTGACCACTGGACGTCGATAGTGCTGATCGGCTCAAATTGCCCCAGAACTGACTCAGGCTGTGTCCAGACAAACTGAATTATCCGACGCACCTTTGATGACCAATGCATAGATGTCAGATCAATAAAGAAGCACCTGTCATTTGAAATATTACATAAGATAATAACCTCATGAAGGATTATCTAACAGAAGATGTCCAATATTCACTTACTTTTGTCACTCGGCGACCAGGCGTAGTTGCTGAGGTAGCCGGCACCGTGAGACTAGCGTTGCAGTGTTCTCAGATTGGTCCGTCTGAAATCTATATCAGAACTCCCCAGCACACAGCCAGCAGCTCACGTAGCGAACACGACAGCCTGCCGACAACATACTAAAGAATCTATAACTCCCACAACCCCAGCGAACCTGCTCCGAAATGATTTGGGGACCTTTTGAATGGGAGCTTAATACCAATTCTTTTGACAGCCTGTTTATTTGTCTGTTTGTTGTTTTAGTTATTATATCGAGCTGGGCCTGCGCTGCGTGGCCTACCAGGGTCCCCCGCCTGTGCACACGGGGGGAAAAACAGGCCGACCCACGTCCATCCCCGTGCCCTACAACGAAGTCGTATAAATCACTATGTTAAATATTTTCTTTCAAAATAGCCGGCCATTCAGACACATCTTGCTATATTGCGGCACAAATTGAAACAAAAACATACACCACATGCATGAGCTGAGGATAAACCCTAACGTTCTTCTGAGCTGAGAGGGGTGGAGGGATTGGTGGGCAAGTGGAATGTTATTATGATTGGGTCATGCAGCAAAAACTTCCGGGTCGGGTTAAGACGGTTTATTTCTCGACTTGGTATTAACAATCCACACAAAAGGACTGAAAACCTATCATGTTGTTGTTGTTACAGTGGGCCAGGCCGGCGTATTGTATTACTGGGACCAGGGTATACGGACTTCGGAACAAGCTCATCACCGAATGACGTGCAATCAGGCACACGGAGTGGCCTCGACATGTCACTCCCAAAAAGAAACAACACCTCACGTTCCAACGGTCTCATTTTTAGACCAGGAACATGGAACCCTTTTCATGCCGGCTACTACCAAACAAGCAATCATCTCGAGAGCGCTGGGCCGGTCACAATAGCCAAACCATCAGGGTAGCATGTAAAACCGGCCGGGATAAATAGGGGGAGAAGGGACGGGGACACAAAGCTAATTTGTTCTCATTATCTGGTGATGAAAAGAGATTTGACGAGATTGCTTTTCCAGCTATGGTCCATTGGACCGCATCATTGTAACAGTTATAAACAGGTTGTGTGGTATTCTAATGGCAGTACATTGGTAGCACAGTACATGTACAAAGCTACATAGTTCAGAGATAGGTCTAAATATCAAAGCGCGTAAGACCGTGAGCAATGTGACTAACCATCACGACATTCCGATTTCTGTCTTCCAAAGCTCCTAACTTTCCTTGCCACCAATCACCACTTCAAAATCAGGTCAAATTCCGAGTCTAATCCCAGAACACGAATTGTCATTCAATTCAATTATACAATTACGACGCACAGTTCTTTTGCAAGTCCATTTGTCAAATGACTGACACGGTAAGAATCAATCTGATATCTAGCGATATTCTTTTGTTCACTGGGCGGGAATTGTAGCAATATGTGAAAGCCCCGGTTTCAGTGAAAAACATTCACATACATTTCACGTTAATTCACATTTTCTTTCCCCTTCTTTTCCAAGATATCTGAATAAAGGGGCGAAATGTAAATTGGCGAGTAATAAATAGAATGAGTCAAACAAAGTCCTTAGTGTTCTTAAGCTTGATTATTACGAAAAATGTATCAAAATCGGTTTTTATAGACGATATATAAAAAAAAAACAGCCAAAAAACCCCAGAGTATTTTCCCCGTCTGGTGTGCACCCCCCGATGTGAACTTCGAGCTGCCTGCATTAAAAACACTAGTGCAAACGGATTGGGCTTGGACTTATTTTCCGGATGGGTCTCATCTGGGACACCTTAGCAATCTGAACATTCCCACGTGTTCTTGCGAGAGTTGTGCATTTACTCGGCCCTATCAGGCAGTTGGTTGATTTTAAATTGAAACTTTATTTATAGGGCCTTCCAAATGAAATATCCATGAACTTGTAACGCACTTTTCAAAAGTATGTGATGGAACACATTCAAAGTTCTATTTGGCTATCTACAAAGCACGTTTCCTTGATGTGATTGTTTGGGGTTTTTCCTCTTTTTTAACATAATTATAATAGATATATTTTTAAACCAGAGTATATTTCACCATTGTTTCTACATATTGTGTCATTGACTTCTGCACTATTCCATTAATCTAAGATTTCCAACGAGTGCATGATTTGTCGAATCAACTCTGCACTGTAAGTTCTTCCCCTCAATAAACGCCATCTTTTCTTCATCCTCGCCTTCCTCGCCTCCCCATCTCCTCCTTCCTGCCCCGGACTTTCCATCTTCAGCAAGCAGACGGCAGCAATGAGTTAAGACGCAGATCTGGGTAAGATTGAGTTATACCGCCTCCTCCCAAGGGGAAATTATCTTCTAATCTTGTCCTTAGACTGTCTTGTGTCGGGAGCAATCTATCCGTGCTTCGTTGCTGGGGCTGAGCGGGGCAGGACGCTGCTTGGCGGCGTCTTCACCCTACCGTTGGCTTGACGACGGTATGAGACGGTGAATTCAAGGCACCGGAGACATCCAACAGACACGTTCTACAACATTTCCTAACCACTTGAAATTGGTTAAAATAACTACCCTTTTTCATTTTGTTTGTGCCACTGGCCCAAACCGTTTCTGATTTTATTCCGCTTCTGATTTGAAACAAGGCACGTGCGAGCGACACACAAACCTATATGTTTCGGGCGGGTAGGGGGGGGGGGTTCGTGCAGGACACAGATGTTCAGAAAAAAAACAGTCGTGCAACATTGTAAATTCGATAATTTGGATAATTACAGGAATGAGCCTGAAAACTGGCCATGTCTTGATTAATGAAGAGATGCAGGGGTGGTTGTCATACGTGTAGACTGCACGTTCGCGCGTTCCAGATGCATTCAGCCGCCCAAGCCGCATGCTTGAGACCTTCAACGCAAGGCGGAAATTGGCCAATAATCTTGTTTCTTCCCGTCTTCTCTCGTTTCTAGGCTGCCAATCAAGGTCCTCCACAAGATTTTCAATTGTGCTCCATTTTAATAGGAAAGGAAATGCGTTTCGATTTTCTGGAATATTTTCTTGCTAGTTTCGACGTTTGCAATCAATGCCACTATCCTAGTGACGTTATTTTTTTGTTTAATATTCGTCTCCAGCGAACGCTATACGCAATTAAAATACTACCAGGCAAAATGCTGGTTTGACGTGTATACAGGCCCACGATCATCAGTAACAATAATAGACGCTGTACATGTACATGTGTTGTGCATATTGCTTTGGAGAAGGACAGACAGCTCATACGAGCAGCCACATGTAATTATTTCCAACAAAATGACCATGACATTGGGGTGACCATATATGGGGACAGAACTGGCTCGCCACAGATCGAAAGTTTGCCTCATAAATCCGAGGCGTTCTCGTTTGTTTTACAGTTCGACGTTCATATTTTCCCCTTCCCCAATTTACCCGAGCAGCGTGTCGCTTTTGTCCATTCTCTGTTGATGCGCTTAACCAGCCGTGGCGCTTAATCAGAACCCGACTACTCCGTTTCAATATCGATTCCCATTTTTTTTCGCGGGATTTTTATGTCATTTTTTTTCAAACCTGCTGGATGGGTCTTGATGTGTTACATCTGTTATCTTTGTTTTTACCTTGCATGTGTCTTGTGTGTAGACGTGTGCGTAGTGTATCGTATCGAGGGGTTGAAACTCAATTGCCAATCGTCATGTCTGATTAGTAGGGACTGACACGAGAGAACTAGGTGTAATGATGGGGCGCCGACATGAACCAACACCCTGTAGGTTGCCCATCTCTCACCGCCTGCCATTTTCGACGCTCGCTGCTCAACCCAAAAGGGAACGGTTGCGTGCGTTCGTCGAGGAGAAAAAAAATTACAAGGGGGAAAACAAAATAAGGAGGATAATAAGTGAGTCGGGCGCGGGAGTTAAACCTGGCATGTCAATGCATAGCATATGGGCCTTCACACGCAATATGGGCCCGTTAACCTTCAGACTGTAACGAGTATGTAATTTTCTCGATGAACTTGCGTTTGGAGGAAAGAGAGAGAGCGAGAGTGGAACGAGACGGCGCGCTACGGGTTAAATAGCACGGTTCGGCCCGGGCTACAAACTGGCTTAATTTCAGCCTATGTCTGTCAGGAAGGCAGTCTAGCGGAGAAAAACGCCTTCACCAGTTGCGCGAGAAGACGTAGAAAGCACGACCAATAACCGGCCAGCAAAATTCGCCCGGAAATATTCCACAATTCAGTCCCGTTCAGTTCCCCCACATCTTTCTTTTTTTCCCTTTCTGTCACAGTGCCATAATAGGACACACTGACAACACGGTAGACAGTCACCAAGGCCATACTAGGCCTACAGCAAGCTAACACACCGACACACACTGTAAACTCAATTGCTCATCCCAGCGTAAAATCATTCGTATTTTATTAGACTCGTTTTAACACACAAAAAAGACAGAGAGGGAAAGAAGTTGTGGTTCTCACCCACGACTTTTTTTTCAGAAATACTTCAGAAATATTATTACAACCGAGTATTTTAGTTCTTTTTCTTTTCATTCAAAATATCAACACAATGTACAAACTTAAAGTAAACAACTATTGTCTGACAGGAATGCGTCCTTACTGACACAGCCCAAAAAAATACAAAAACCACAAAAGAAATTGAGTTGTCGACACAAATAAGCGTAAACAGTGAAATGTTTCAAGAAATGACAGGTTGCCTTTTCTCAGTAGTGTATACATGTATATTGCTCAAAACAATAATTAAATCCACCTTAAAACCATTTTTAAAGAAAGACAAAGTGTTTAGTAATAATTCTTTCCAATGTACAAAACCCACTACGGACCCTGCATTTAATCTAATTTCACAATAGGCCTAATTTATTATAAAATGTGTGAGAGTGTAATATTTCTGTGATACATTATTTTTAAACTCAGTTAAGCAAATAAAACATATGAAAGCGAAAACAAAGTGAGTTTCTCATAAGAAAAAAAAACTTTCAAAGTTCCATATTACAATGACCACGATAGCATTCTTATAAAATGTCGCGTTATGATATACAAAAATGTACTGTTATCGAATCCTTTGATTTTAATACATTTATTGAGTTACCAAATGAGTGTTGCGTGGGGGAAAACGAAGCAATGTGTATGTACTATAAGATGGGCCAGAATTGGACTCATTCTAAGGGTCAACATTCGTCCAAAGAATAGAACAGAGGATCAACCTTCCACTCACCTCACGGTTTGTTTCCTTAGGTGTGTAAGGGTTAACAAAAGTGAGACTATTTTCACAATCGTTTGTTTTGATATGGCACGGAAACCAAAACTGGGATACATTATTTGTTTTCTACACATTAGTTTGTCAATAGTAAAATTGCCGGTGTCGACCGTTATACCAATATGGTTACGTGTCGACAGTTATACCAATATGGTTACGTGTCGACAGTTATACCAATATGGTTACGTGTCGACAGTTATACCAATATGGTTACGATGGACAAAAATAAGTTATTATACAAGTCCTCTGGATATGATAACATAGTTTTCGCCGAGAAAATAGTAAGAAATTTCACTTTTACTGTGTTTTTTCCCCCTGCAGTTGATGGCATTTTAAGATGCAACACGGGCGCCGAGAAAATATAATCAGAATCAATCACGTGACAGCTCCTTTCTAATTAAGCGTGAGATCCGTTCATGGATAATCATCGATTTTTTTTTCTTTCTCGTTTTTTCCTCCCTCTTGCTTGTAATCAGTGCCAGATCGACCAGCAAAACTAGCGCTGCATAATTCCCACGTCCCTATATCCGGCCGAAATTGCGTGAAAAGGCTTTGTGGTTGGAAACAAAATTTGCTACCAAATTTTTGGACAAATTACACAGTCACACCAACAAAATGCGGACTGAGAATCTCAGCAGTTTTACAAGTGAATGTTAGCCTACTCTAGGGTTTTCTCTGTGATATTAAAAACACAACCAAAAAATAATAGTCTGGTGTGCAAAAGCATGATCTTCTGTTTTAAGTCCCTTTTTATTTTGCAGGATTTCGGTCCATAATACGCCAATCCCAGGAAAGGATATCTTGATCTAACACTACTAGAACTGTCTCGCTGTGAAGTGGAAAATATCCCCCGAGTTATCTGGGTCACATATTTTCAAAATGTGGCATTAAATCGAGATTAACAGAAGTTGAGCGTCTTCCTCAGTGATTAACGAGGTTTAGCAATGTCTAGTGGGAGGGCTCTTTTGAGTTCAGGACTGGACTCTCTATATTCCATTATTAGATTTGGGACAATGTTACGGTTATTATATATCACTTGACACCAGCGTTCACGGGTACTAATCTATATTTATGGCCACTTCCTTCCCCATTTTCAAGCCCAGAGACAGTGCTTTCACTTCGTCACTAATGGGAAGCATTGAAAGGCCTTTTCAAAAGTGAATGTCGAAAAATTGGTTAACCACAAGTTCATTAGGCCTTATGTGCCACCGAGAAAAACTGTGAGAAATATTTCAACGAAAGGATATTCTGAGTTCAGATAACGGGACAAAATGTACATGCAATTTCTTCTCCGAGTAATAAGTGATTTTTTCCGATTTTTTTTTTACTTCAGTTTTTTGTGTTGGTAACCTACACTTTGGATTCTAAAAGTTCTAGACTGCGTTTATCTTTTCTACAAGCAAATGGAATCTATAAATGAGAAGGAATTTACAAAACATTGGCCTCTTTTGTTTTATATGTACCAATTGTTCATATAAGGAAATTACCAGCTTGTACTTTAAAATAATTCTCACATTTCCGAATATGTCATATCATTTTTGCATAGAAATGTAAGGATCTGAAACAACTTTTCCTCAATGGATACACCGAGTGCACACAAATCTCAGGCAAGACTAAATATTAAAAAAAATGGTTAAAAGATTTGGCCATTTTACATTTGGTCATTTATAAATATTTATATATTTATATGAATGTTTATATACACATATGTTTATATACATATGTATACATATCATTGTACACATATATTAATATTTATATCTCTGGGGTGTAAAAAATACTGAGCTTCTTTAGAGTGGGCTCCATGAGTGAACCAGTTTTCCCGCTCAGTGTGTATCAATCATGAGAGCAAAAACTCCACAAAGACAACTGTCTCCGCTCGACACTGCTGCGGTATAATTCAGCGGTCACGGAGGCAGGACTTGCCGGGGCTGTAAATTCAATAGTAACGGGTCAGTTCTCGCTGTGGAGCCCGGTTAGCCGACGCTCCGATGGGCAAAGCGAATGATTCCAAGCGTTGCTGATCGGGCCTAAAAACCTATAGTTAGATTGCACAAATGACTTGTGTTGCTTTGCAAGCGTGCTCGTGACTGAGACTTTCAACTCTCCCTCCGTATTATACAGCAGTACATGCCATAAATTGGAGCTGAAACCTTTATTTTGTTCACACAATTGGCAAGAACTTCAACCTTATTTTATGTAATTCAGCCATAATTGAATAAAAAGATGAATAAATCTCTTGTGCAGTGTTCGCCCTATCGCACCATTTTCCGGTCACTGGTATTCAAAAGGGGACAATAAAATCTATATACTGAAATAGAAATGCATTAATAATTGAATGGTATCTGAGAAATACAGCCCGGGAATATTGGGATTTGATGGACTTCATGTGGCAAATAAAAAGGTTCAAGTTCAAAATGGTGTTGATAGTTCATACGATACGAGCAAGTCACAATCAGATTCCATACTTAAAGCTTATGTGATACTACTATACGTCTTTGACAGGATGTCTGTATCATTATACAATAGGAAAAGTATCACTTTACCAGTCATGGCATCATCACAACGTTTAAAAATTGTCTATGTTTGATACTCGTATACAAACACCACCATGGCCGAGCATTTACAAATTCGATAAACAAGCTGGCAAAATATCGGCTTTTACCAGTGTCATGCCAATAGTAGGGTATAATCCTAGAGCTTTGTAATGGGCTTACCACTGGATCGATGGCAATGGTTAACCTGACTGTAAAAACTAAGTCATCCAGACGGATTGTTTATTAAAGAAATATTATGGAAAGTTCTCCCCAAAGTTTACAAAAACAAAGTGTACTCAGCAGCGGGTAAACTTACAGACTACATTTTTCTTCTAAGCATTAATAAAAAAAGAAAATCTGCCACCGATCTGACCCAAAGCAAACAAGAAAGCGTGAGTTCTGAAGACTGAGTTCATCCCAAGTCGGTTTGTGTGCGGTTGTAATACGACAGACAATCGGAAAACTCCGTAGTTGTATAAATATTGACAAATTGGGTCATTACAACAAGCAATGTATACCAAACCACGTGCGTTTCGAGATTCACAGCACAACACAAAAGTGACAAGTAAGAAACCCGTTTTTGCATCTTTTTGTTCTTTTCGTGTCTTTTTTTTTTACTCAGGTTTGTTTTGTTTATATCAGTACTTTGAACAGTCATAGGAGGAGTATTGTCCTGCCACATGGTACATACCGGGTGCTGTAGTGCCGGTTGGTGAGCGGTAAGACGTAGCGGCTAGTTGGCAGCTATCCCCGGTGTTTAGGCCCAGTGTTACGGGCGAGTTGTGACTCAGCGCCATCAGTCGTTGTGAGGGTAGCCGTTGCGAGTCGTACATACCGAAGGACTGACCGTGCGAGCCCGTGCTGGTACCGTGCAGGTCGGCCGGGCTTGGGCCTTGGTACCACGAGTTGCTCCCGGTAGTGCCACCGCGATGCACTGGGCTGAGATTGCTGGGTTGCGATGTCATGATGGAATTGGGGCCTTGGGGACTTGGTCGCTGGGACAAACCTTGCTCTTGATGCACTTCTTCTGGTGTAGGGGCAATGGCCATGTGCTTACCCATGCTCAAATCAGGTTCGTACATGTTACAGTGGTAGTTCATGCCATGATTGACTAAGTTTACATTACCGGTCATGCCGGTCGTTTTCTTGGAGCATGAGACTCCGCCTGGTCCCGAGTGATAAGTCTGGTTGTAGCTGAGCGGTTGAGGAGAGACGAGTTGACCCACCACCGGCCTTCCAGGCAAAGGGTGTCCACCCGGGTTCAAGTCAGAGTTGCAGCCGTTGGTGGAGTCCCGGTCGTGGTGAACGGTCATGATGTTATCGACGGTGTAACTTGACGGTGAGGTGGTCATCATTGTCCCATCTCCTGACAAATGCCGTGAGTTCCCGGGAGATTCTCTTAGAACTGGGGAGTCCACAGGCTCCACTTTTGGGGTTAGAAGTGGGGTGCTGCTGTTGCTGGTCAGTACCTTAGAGGTAGCTGTCATTGGGGATGTTGACTCGGCCGGATGACCTGATTCCTCCGTCCCCGAGGAGACACCATTTTGATGGTTGATGAGTTCTTGGGATGTAGCGTCCCCAGAATGACCTTCGTTAAGTCTTTCTCTCTCCTCTTTCTCTTGGATGGTCTTGTTTCTCTTGAATCGCTTCCTACGTCTCAGGTAGCTACCGTTATCGAACATGTTGTAACTATCGGGATCCAGGCTCCAGTAGCTTCCCTTGCCGGGTTTCTTGTCATCTCGGGGTATCTTGATGAAGCAGTCGTTCAGGGAGAGGTTGTGCCGAATTGAATTCTGCCAACCCTGCTTGTTTTCCCGGTAAAACGGAAACCTGTCCATGATGAAGGAGTATATTCCGTTGAGTGTGCATCGCTTTTCTGGGGCATTCATGATAGCCATAGCGATCAGAGCGATGTAGGAGTACGGGGGTTTGACCATGTCTTTGGGATTTTGCTGCTGGTGGCCGTACGGGCCGTACCCCCGCGCGATGCTGGAATATTGGTCATGGCTGTAGACAGAAACCGGCATCCCCGAGTAGCTGGGATGTCGGTAGTAACTCTGGTCCTGAAACACCGGGTGCATGACGCCCAGCGAGTTCGGTGTGGCCGGGTTAGCCGAGGCGAAACTGGCCTGCATGGTCAGCCCCAGGTTGGCAGAAGGTGGCGTATTGCCGGAGTTTTCCACGGAGTTGAAAGCGTACATGGGCATGGATCCGTTCGCTAAGGCAACAGCCTGCTCAATATACTAAGCCACAAGGAAACCGTCAACACGTAGCCATCATGAGTTCTAAGTCACGCCCAGAAATCCGGTAGCCAATCAGCGCGCAGCTGGCGACCACCCATCACGACCTGCCCACACACAGAGAGCGATACATACACTGCTCAACGATATATGACTGTCAGCGTTCACTTGACGACCAAATAAATTAATTGCTAATTTTTACTGATTTTCCGCGTTCAACTCGATTACCAAACCTGATGGAGACGAATTTATACACCGAGCCGGCTCACCCAGTTAAAGTTTACACTTGAGGTACGGGCGTGAGTTTTGACCGCTGCTGAACCAAATCTCCCCAAACACACTCTTGCTGTTTTCATATTTTCTTTCACCACAAAAGTCCGCGCGGCCGTCTGCGAGTGTTAACCGGATTATTGGCAACAAAATCCGAGCGAAGTGTGGCCGAACTGGCCCAGTTCAATCCCTGCTCTAAACAGAATAGAACCCACAAACTCAGGGATTTCTGTTTTAAAGTCCATTTTTTGTTGAACTGCCAGCCGTTGGTTGTCAAACTAGGAGGTGAAATATAAAGCTGTTTTCATGGTCCGAACAGCGGCCATTAATTTCGGGTTTACGGTCCTGCCTTCTACCCGAGCTTTTTGCCAAGAACCACTGTTGGGGGCAGTTGGTGGTTTAAACTCCCGCTAGCCTGTCTTCCTTCTTTGGTCAATTTTTTTCAAGAACTGCAAATTGCCCCGAAACAGCTGGTTAGCATTAACGCCGTTTATGAATAGATCTCTGTTGCAAATTTGTTACAACAACCCAAGCCAATTATTATTACTCTCAATAGGGCACTGGCTTTTTTTCAACTCTACTTCCCATTACCGTAGCTCCATTTATAGCCCTATGATGGTGCAGTGTGTTCAAACTTCCAACACACTAAAAATTCCGCGTGAAATCGAAAGTGCAATCGCCAGTTTATCACGAAGGTTGTTGCGGTCCGTGCCTGCTCGCATGACTTCAAGGGTGCGAACAGTGGATGTTTATTGGCTGTTTACGTGTTTACATGTCCATCACCCATGTCTCTCTTAACAACGGTGGATGGTGGACTGTGGGCCTTTCATGTTTTACCGGTCACTTGCTGAGCCCTACGATGACCATCTTTTACCGATGTCCAGCCATATATGTTGCGCACATTATAGGACCATGTCCTCGCAGTCAGCGCGTTGAGTGATTCACCGGGTCTGACCTTGGGTCAGCCCCTTTAAAATGTCACCCTCGACCGGTAGGCTGTTTTAAAGGCACAGTTTGTGTGTACTCATCTTTACTTTCCATCATTACACTGGCAGTGGGGCATTGCATAGGCTTGGGTTTGGTTTAACCTTATAATATAAGTACGGAACCCTTTATAGGAGCTTTGGGTAATGATTTGGGCTACAACACGTCAAATTTGTGTGTAGGTCAATGCGTAAATTCATCATGCATTTTTTTTTTCAAATCAGCATTTGGTATGCGATTGCAAGGAGAATAGAATTAGAACCAGGTTTGGCATTGTTTAGACATTTTCTTATGTAACCCATTCCTACCAGCTATGTAAACTATCTCAATAGTCAATTTATCGAACCATTTTACTTTCAGCAGTTGTTCCTAATTTTGTTGTGATTCTACAGTCGTCTTGTTTGCAGTGGTATCATCAAAATGGCATCGAGCTTCTTCTTTCTATCCTCTATCAGTCATCTCTGAAGTATCAACTCGAAAACACAGGATGGCATTTGCATTCTGATGCCATTAAACAATGTTATTATTTAGATTGTGTGCCCTTGACTTGAGCAGGGATTAATAACGGTTCAATGAGATTTATGGTCGTAATCAAACTAGCTCCTCAACATTGATTGGCAGGGAAAGTTCAAATGGACAGAGAGAATGCGGGTTGTTCTCTGGAAGTGGAACAAAAATAATGACTTCCCCAAAGGAAGCATGGTTTGTACTTCAGCTCTGCTTCTCCCATCCGCGAAAAATGAACATGTCCATATAGACGTTTTTTCCCAAACGTTAGGTTTTTGATTTGTTTTTATTCTTTTTCACCTGTGTGCACGGTAGGCTTAACTGTGACAGCAGGCCTAATTCAAGTAATTGATGATTGTAGAACTAGAAGGTGGCATTGTCTATTGGCTCCTCTGTGACGCCCCTCCCCACACCCGAAACAAAAGAGAACCGTATCATCATAATACTCGTGTTTTTTTCTTTCTAAAAGGTTGCAAAACTCCCCTCAATTTTCAAACGTTGGTTTCCTGCAACGGGGAAACTAACACCACATACACAATTATTAATGTTAAGAGACATACAGTTACAGAACCCTCAAGTATAGTCTTGAACCAAAATAATGCCCGCCGCTGTAAATATTAAAACGATACAGAATAGTTTTAGTAGCCATGATCGGTAAGTTCTTGATGGAAATCCTGAATTAAATAGCACTTGTGCTTGGCAGTGGGAAAAACACCCACTGAGCACCCAAATCATGTCAATTGACTTGTGCAGGTTAGCAGACTGAGCCATGTGTGGAGTAGCCCATGTTTGCCCACAGTTGATTGTGTACTGCTCCTTCACCTGCTGTCAAGGTGTGCACTATGCACACACATCTGAGTATTGCCTACGGCTAATCTTCGAACTGCCGCTTTCACTTCAGAAATGAATAGCTCGGCAAGCTACAGACTCAAGCCCAACTCTTCATAGAGGGACTGTATTTAGCCAAAACCTATGCTATGGGAAAAGTCCCACTCTACTAGTTGTGTGTTGTTAGGGGGGGCCTTGCAGGTGCTCAAATATTATGACAACCATGTGATGTCGCCAGTTAACCAGGAATGTTTCAGTACACTAGTGATGGAGTTTGGCCACAGTTTGGTTAATAATAAGTTAGCACCCTCTTCACCTTTTAACTAAGTCCGACCGTCGTCTTAAGCCCTGTCCGCACTGGACTTTTTTTGGTCAAACTAACCGAGACTATGGGTACTTTTCCCATTTTAAGTCCAGTGCGGACAGCCTAGGACGTTTTCCTCTCGGTTACTTTTCCTGAGTCCAGCGGTTACTTTTACTGGCCAACTGCTGCCCAGGAAAACTTCCCACGCGCCCAGGAAAACTGACCAGGTCACTTTTCCCGAGACGATAAGTCCAGTGCGGACAGTGTCAGTCGGTAAAAGCGGCTCAGGAAAGCGTACATCCGGCCCGAGCGCCCTGTTATGCATACAGAGACCGCACGAACCTGCACGTGCGGTGGCCGAACATTTTGTAGAAACACGCTGCAAGCGGTAAAATCTCGTTAAAATATATATTTCAACGGACAAAAATACATATACACAGAGAAGAGAGATCACGTTCTGAGAATTAATTTGCGGAAATTCTCTTTCTCCACCGATGTATGTTATTTTTCACGATCCAAATTCGTCCTGATACGCTACTGTAGTCATGCACGGAACATCATGGTACGTCCGGTACCGTACGTAGGCCGTAGTCACTGGTTCCTGCCCACATCATAGCTTCGATTCTGTAAGCATGCGATGGGAACCAACGAATACTGATGGCACTGCTGCCGCACGGAACATCGTACAGCGGCATGGCTTCGACGACGTGCATCACAAAATGCGTCAGAATTATAGGCCTTTTCGTCAAGATTTAGCGTGTCAAGATGAAATAATATCGTGTAAACGATTATGTTGTGCATGCAAATGGCATGTGTAATATTACTGTGCGTATCGGCGGCTGAAAATGTGATCGGCAATTTGTTTTCTGTGTACGGTGAGTCATTTTACTGACACTGTGACAGCTCGGTTACTTCTCCCACGCGGTCTGGGTAAATTTTCCCGTGTCGAAAGTCCAAGTGCGGACAGTGGTCACATTTGACCATTTCTCATTTTACCATCGTCTCGGTAAAACCTTCCAAAAAAAAGTCCAGTGCGGACAGGGCTTTACCCGATCCCATCGGACCCTGCGGTTGATTGCCTCAGTAAAAACCACTGGTGCAACAAAGACCAGTTTTATCGAAACAAAACTGTTGACCGTCCCTGCCTCTCGTACAAAATGCAGAAATGGTTGTTCTGTTTTTCATTGGTGGAAGCGAGCTTGTATTCAAATTATTTGTTTGCTATATTTTTCACTGCATTGCAAGAATTAGACTACCTCTTAAGATAACTGATTGAAAAAGGTAATTAGTAAAAGTTTACAATCGTAGTCTGGACTTAATGTAGTACGATACCTAAACAAATAAGTCACACGAACATACCTTTTAGGGTCTGTGGACAGACTATCCGTTTTGCGTATTATCAATTGCTTTTCGAGCAATTCGAATTGTTAGGCATTTTAACGCAACCTTATAGGAATCCCATGTGATACAGGTGTATTCAAGCCCCACCCAGGGAATAAATGACAAATTTCCCTTTGTCATAGATCCATGTCATTGTATTTTGTTTACAGCCGTTGTCAGACTGTTTCCAGGAACCATTTTGGTCCATGCATTTCCCTTTCTCGCGAAGCCTTTAATAAAGTCCTGTTGTGCTTCCACAGTATCACCATGATCAAGGGATCAGCGTTTAATACCAGGAAGATGCCGCATGGACAGCGCCTGAAACATCTGTCGGCATGCGTGCCAGCTTGAAAAGTACGCGTACAAAATGCGGTCACTTGTAGTGTGCCCGGAACTGTCTAAATTGTACCCCGGTTGATTTTCATGAGAATCAGGCATTTCGCGAGCGGGGGAGTACCCACTTCAGCTCTAAAATGCAAGTCAGTTTTCGGTTTGCAGAAAAAAGGAACAAAATGAGGAAATATGGACCAAAAAAATACTTTGTTTTGTAGGCCGACATCATGGTTGTTTTGTTTCCGTGAAGTCGGCTATAAAAAGTACTAACCCACTCAATAAAGCACGGTTTAATTTGCATAGCATGAACGAGTTTTGTTGATTCAACATTCCTTTGTTTCAATGGAAAATATCATGACGCTTCAATCTTGATTGATTTCCATCCTACATAAAAAGGATCCTTTCCAACCATCAGGAAACCTGTCATTTTCGAATCGAAAGAGGGCGCTGCGATATACATACATTTTGCAAAATTATATTTGACAAAATAGATACTTATTACCGAACGTAAAACCTAAGGTTGGTTTGATCTACATTCAAGATTCAGTGAACTGAAGCGTGATTAGGTTGGACTCTTCTAATTATTTCTAACACATTTCTAACAACTCGATCGGGAAATAGGGACTTACTGATACTACTGTTACTGATGTCCCCATATGAAACCACAAAATAGAACTTGCATAGGATTGTATGAACATTTCGAGAAGAGATAGACAGTCGCTTTAATACGGTGACTTAACCTCATTTCAGTGGTAAATTTGATGTTTTCCTCGGAGGCTCTCAATATCAACTCAGCCGTACCTTTTTGTGCCAGACTTGCCGGCAACGGGCCGGGCCTTTGGCCCGCGTGGGTGGCAGCTAAATCGGGACTTTCTAACCATTAGTACACCCGATGCTGGGAGTAAGCTTATCTCACCGGAAATAAAGCATAACCGTCTGCTCACCAAAACCACCAAGTTGCTGGTATTGTTCTTCTAAATTGTACTTTTTCACACGGTGCTATAGTTCGCTGGAGTATTTCCTTTTTGGAGTTGGCAGACAACAGCCTAGTGCCCTTTCGGGTTGGAATTGTG